TGTGGAACCCAAGGAGATACTGCCTTTTTCGGAGATCTCTCCTAAATTCGACACCGTGCTTCGACACGCCCATTTCTTGGGTTCTGAAGTTTCTTTTCTTATCTTACTGGCAGGATCCCTTAATATCGGGATGCTTTGGCATAACTACCATGTTAATAGTTACCTAATTGATTGAATTTACAATTGTCTAAATAATTTTGAGACTAAACTTACAAATAACACTACACCTTCCTATTGTGACTCCGTATAGCAATACGGGACGGATTAGTCAATCTCATTTAATCTATTATAGCTTGGAAAATCCGTCTAAAAACCAGCTATTTGATCTATTATTATTTTCCTCACCACATCCTAACAACTTATTTAAATATCTTGGAACTCCTATGTCCTTTCAAATGCATTTTGCGCAATATTAGAAATATCGATTTTTCCCTTGATACCAGATGCTCAACACATGGCCCTGACGGTCTAAGTTAACTTGTTCAAAAACATTGCTAAATTTCATGAGGCCTTCTCCAAAGGACGGCTTTGTGGCGACGCTAAACCTACTTGAAAAACCTTAACTTTTCGATAATTAGTGTTGACTGAAATATTTTACTTTTTTGCCCATCTGTTCCGAGAACTAACAAATAAATTACCACGCATCACGGCTTTTGTTACACTAGGTTGCTACATGAAAGTCGTCTATTTAGTCGTAAGAGAGATTTTTGTAAATTTTCAAAGTGTATTTACATAAAGATTTTCTCAATTCTTGAAAAGAATAACTGTAAACAAAGACTGAGTGATTTTATGTCTGGTTAGTCTAAGTCTGATTAGTTAGTCATTAGATTAGCTAGGTGTATACTAGAGCTGGCAAAAACCGAAAAAAAGTGAAACCGATTAACCGGGTTCCCTAAAAAACGATTTCAGATAAAACCGGTTAGTCGAATAGTTACTAAAACCGGATATTCTAAAACCGGTTATTCGAATAATGGCCAAAACCGGATATCTGAAAATCGGTGCTTTGTAAAACTGACGAGATATACGATGTTATTCACATATTCACATATTTTAAATTTTAAAGTTAAATCTAATGTCAAAAGTTAAAATGTTAAAACAGTTAAAACAGTTGCACTTGTTACTATGATTCTTCAATTTATTATTTATATAAATGGATTTCGCGGTTTGGTGTATGTGGGCGTGGGTGACTGTTTTTTTTTTATCAGTCTGTGTCTGTCCCCCAGGATAAAATATAAAAATAAATTGTATTTCTCTTAATAGTTTAACCCTTCTAATATGTATGTACTATGTAGCCTGTGTCAATAACTACATAACACTAAGACTATATTATGGTGTTATGTAGTTATTGGCTATAAAGAAAGAATCCGATTATTCGGATGTTTGAATAGATTATCAAATAGTCGGTTATTTGAATAATTGGTTATTTGAATAATCGAATATTTGAAGAATTGAATAACATTTTCGGGTTTTGTAAAAATTCGAATTATCCGAAACCGGTTAACCGCCTATCCAAAAAACCGATTTCAGTTGCCAGCACTAGTGTATACTGTAAAATACGTTGATTTTTGTCTAAATTTTGATTATGTTGATTTTTGTCTAAATTTTAATAACGTTGACTTTTGTCTAAATTTCGATTACGTTGATTTTTGTCTAAATTTTGATTACTTATTGTAACCCTCAGTACCGAAATAATCCTGGGATTGACTAAATAGGATCCCGAAATTCCGGGATTAGAAATAAGGACTGAGATCGAATTCCCTAATCATGACTCTAATTTAAAATTTGTAAATATGATATAACTTGAAAACAAATGAAAATCACACAACAACATTTGAGTTTTTCTTATTATTTTGATGTGTAAAATCCATTCCTGGAGTTTGGTTTAATTCTCCCGACTCGCCCTGTATATTCACCTATATTGATACATAATTAGTACTACAATGTCCAGCATATATACTACAAAAAAGTTGCTTATAATGATTTTTCTTGTTATTGTTTTCCTGAAAAATTACTGTTGCACACTTTGGCATGATCAATGGCGATATGTACTATACAGTATAAATTTTAGATCTGGAGCGCTAAAAGAAGAATACATGCGACTGCAACAAGAAATGCAAAAAGCTCAGGAAGAGATAAATTTTGCTTATCAAAAGAAGAAAGGTATAAATGCTGAGAAAAAGGAAGCTCGGTTAGAGAAAGAAGAAGCCGATAAATATGCTAGACTAAAGGATGATTTGGTAAGACATTTACTTTTATAAGTTGCATTAATTTAAAAGATCAATTTAAGTTAATGTAAAAGCTTCGGTATAAATTTACAGTAATGATACTGATTATAATCGGATTATTTTTTTTAAAAGTGTTTGTCTCAAAAGTTAAGATTTATGCAACATAAAAAAAAAATAGCTTAAACCTTTAAATTCTAAAGTTGTAATAGTGAAATTTATTCCACCACCCCTAGATTTTGAGATTGGAAATAAATGTGGACTTGTCCCATTTTTTTTTTTTATAAAAGCAATTATTTTGAGATGTGAATCTTTAAAACTGACTACAGACTCATGCCGTGAATAACCTTGAACGTCACTAACTAGAACCTCGTCACATTCACAATGTTCACAGTTTTGTTCGTGCCTTCGTTAAAAATTGATGAAAAAATAGCAGCAGCATTAACTATATGTGCTTTAACTAATTACAATTTTCCTTGGTAATATTCCAAAAATTGTAGTTGTAAGTCATTATTCCAGGTAGTCATAACATAAACACTACTAAATTAAAACATCGACGCTTTAGTACGAATACATCCTATCTCACGTCGTGATAACGTCGTGTCGTCGTGTGTAAGTGAACGTAGCTGTTGGTTTTTCGTAGTGTTTTAGTGGGTAATATTGATCATTAATTATAACAAACTTTACACAGATTTGAATAATTCCTTTCGGCTTCCGCTCTGTGAAGGGCATATGTTTTTGATCTATCTTAAGTACAGAATTGACAATTATTAATGTCTCAAGTCTGTAAATCATGTTCCTTGCAAATCACAAAGAAATCGCCGGGTGTACACTGTTTGGGTTTTTGCGGCAACTTTTTCCACAACAAATGTGTCAGCCTCACAAACGAACAAATAAAATTCATTAAGGCTAATCCAGAGCTCGGTTGGTGCTGCGCGAGCTGTCGCTCGGGTGGCGCTGAGTCTGCTGCGGCCTCTACTGATCAAGATGATGATATCCCAATTATAAATATGCACTCTCAATGTGACACGTCTAATATGAATACACTTTCTAACTTTATGCAAGATGTTAAGAGCCAATTAAGTATTCTGCGTGAAAAGCAAGATCAACTTCTTCATTCTGTGACTTTCTGTTCAGATAAGGTATCAGAGTTTGAGACATCACTTGCAAAAGTCAATGATGGTATGAAGCAAATGGAGATATTGCGTAATGAAAATGAAAATCTTAAGAAGGAGGTTGTGTCTCTGAATTGTAGACTTAACGACCTGGAGCAATTTTCTCGTTCAAAAAATATAGAATTACAGGGTGTACCTGAAAAAGCTAACGAAAATATTCTATCCATTGTTTCTAAAGTAACTACTTTTTTGGGAATTGAGTGCAATGAATCGATAGAATTCGCTCACAGGGTACAGTCCTATAACAGGCAATCTCATTCGCCCAGAAATATTATTGTTGGATTTCAATCTAAACTGATTAGAGATAAAATATTGGTTTCATACAAAGATAAACGTCGAAGTGCTACATCCCCCGGATTAAGAATTGAAGAAATTTCTAATAATTTATTTATCAATGAACATCTCACTTCTGTGAATAAGTTATTGTTCAAACATACAAGAGATGCAGCTAAAGAAAAACATTATAAATATGTGTGGATCAAAAATGGCAATGTATATATACGCAAAGAGGATAATTCCAGAGCTAAACTTATTCGTAGTGTTGACAGTTTGGCTGAACTGTAAATATATCTATTCTCCCTATAAGATTTTCATTCTTTTCCTATGGATTTGTTAATCTACTACCAGAATATTCGTGGTGTTCGAACTAAAACTCATAACTTTAAGTTAAATGCAGTGAACCATGAAGCTGACATTTTTTTGATAACAGAAACCTGGCTGAATAGTGGTATTTTAAGCAGTGAAATTTTCGATAATAACTATCATGTTTTTCGACGTGATCGGGATTCTTCTAGCAGCTTAAAATGCGATGGAGGTGGTGTACTGATAGCCGTACGTGAGGATCTGTTTGCTGTAGCTCGCCCGGAATTTTTCAGCGACGCAGAAGATATGTGGATTTCTATTCATTTAAGTGGTAATAAATTGCTTCATGTGTGTTGTGTTTATTTGCCTCCTGGAGATGAAATGGCAAATTCTTATTTTACTACCAAATTACAATCCATTCTTCATAAAATATCCAGTGATTATATACTAATTTGTGGTGATTTTAATCTGCCTTTAATAAAGTGGGTACCAAATGATATCCATAAAACATATCTTTTTGCTACAAATGTTGATAGGAAATCTAGTGATCTTATAGATGCAATGTCATTAGCAGAGCTTATGCAATTTAATTCGCATGTTAATTCTCATTCTCATATTCTTGATCTAATTTTTTGCAATAATTTCAATGTAAAAAGAATAACTAATAGTGATTCTCCTCTGGTGCCCCCTGATCTTCATCATCCTCCACTAGAATTTTATTTTTCTTGTTCTGCTGTTGGTTTTTTATCCAATAAAATAACCTGTCATAATTTTAATTTTAGAAAAGCTAATTGTATCAATATATGTAATTCCCTAGTTGATATTAATTGGCATGGTATATTGAATAAAAGTTCACTAGATGAAGCCGTCAGTTGTTTTTATGATGAGCTAAATCGCATTTTTTCATTACATGTACCTAAGGCTAAAATTAAATTTCGTAATTATCCTAGTTACTTTTCTATGGCTACTATCACTACTGTCAAAGAGAAAATAAAGTATCATAAAAAATGGAAAATGTATAAGAATGAACTAGATCATATTAAATTTATTTCCTTAAGACGTCGTAGTAAACAGATGATACTAAATGATTATAGAAAGTATATAAGTTCTGTGGAGGAGGATGTTCGGTCAAATCCAAAGAAGCTGTGGCATTTTGTGTCTAACTTTAAACGTAACAATGGCATTCCCAATGTGATGCATTATAATGATTGTACCGCTATGGGACCCAGTGTGTGTGACCTTTTTTCAACCTATTTTCGAAGTGTTTATGAACCTTATCATCAGGTGCCTTTTAAATCTTTTCTAAATACTGGTAGCGTCAACATCAATTCAATTCATTTAACTGAACAGGATGTATTTAATAAACTTAACAAAATCAATGTCAACAAAGGCGCCGGTCCAGATGGTATACCTGCTTACTTTATTAAAAATTGTGCTACAGCCCTATATGTACCATTAACCATTTTATTTAATATGTCTCTCACATTAGGGGAATTTCCATCAATGTGGAAAAAAGCATATCTCATTCCAATCTATAAGAACACCGGAGATAGAAACTGTGTGAAGAATTATAGAGGTATTAGTAAACTATCCATATTCAGTAAAGTACTAGAATCCATAATTTACGATGCTCTGTTTGAATCTCTAAAAAATATTATAATTGTTGAACAACATGGATTTTTTTCTAAGCGTTCCATAGATACTAACCTCTTAAGCTATAGTGATTATATTCGCAATTCCATGGACAAG